AAGAACAGTTAGCAAGAAGCCTGCCACGGCCATACAGTTTGTAAGCAATATAAGTCTCTGTGTTTACTTGGTTGGGTCTGAGCGGCTGTGGGACTGGCAGGTGACAAAGATTTGTCCTGACTGTGGGCAAGGCAGGAAAACTCTAGCTACAGTGTCAGGCTCTTGACTGTCTTGTACATGGTGTCAATAAATGTAAAGGTCCCCGGTTCAAACACATACCATTATGAAAAGGTTTCAGGTTTAGGGCTCAAGGGGGATACTGAGGCAGACTGTCCTCTTGGGTAATAAATTTATTTGAAGAGTTGCTAATGCCATGGGCATACAGACTTATGGACAGACAGCATGCTGGGTACTCTGATGAGTGTTCGGGTCTGAAGGGCAGAATGGGGAACCTCCTCTTCCAGGTCTTGGGGTGGGGAACCCGGCGGGCTCAGGCTGTCTCTTATCCCTTGGCTGGGCAGAGGGGAAATGGAGGACGGTCTTGGCATCAGTAAGTCAGAGCCAGCTCTCAACTCTGCATGGGAACGGAGGAAGAGAAGCCACAGGCGGCTTGGCTGGCACATGCCACCGAAGGGCTTCCAGAGGACAGCTGTCCAGGTTGGATGGGAGCAGGGTAACCAACGTCACCAAGGAGGAAGCCTCATCCACAGAGCGCTGAGAGCGTCCCTTCTCTGTCATGTAGGCTCTGATTCTCATCAGTGACGCTGTCATGCTGTTGCCCCTGTCTGTCTGTCCATGGTGTTAGTCTCAGTGTCCTCTTGAACCACCCGCCCCATCCAACACTTCACTCAGACTTTCTTCTTCGCGGCTCTCATCAGCTCTGCCTTGCGGCTGCACTTCTGGAAGCCGCCTTTGGTTGGAGCCAGTGTTCACCTGAACTGTGTGAACCCCATCTGAACTGATGTTTGCTTTTTTTCTCGGGTCCACAGCAGCCCCCACCTGGTAGCATTGTCCTTAACTGTCCCAGGGCAGTGACTGCAGGCTACCCTCCCCATGGGGTGAAGACTTCTTTCTTCACCAGGGGCACCCCACCTGAGCTCCCTTTCCTCTTCCCTGTCTACTTGATTCTTGCAAAGGGGCAGGGGCAGCAGCCTGGGGGCGGCAGCCTGGCTTCTCCTGAGTTAGCAGAGGCCACCAGGGCCTGGAGGGCAAAGGACTTGGCAGTTGAGCATTGGACAGGAAATGTCAGAGAGCGACAGATAAGGAAAGGAGCTGTTGTCTTTGCGGCGCAGGGATGATGGGAACAGGAAGCCGTGACAAGGAGGAAAGGAACCTGGGTCCAATCCCGCGTCCCAGTCACTAAGATGGGACACGTGACTCGGAGTGATTTGTGTGAAGCGACAGCGCCAAGCGGAGCCTGCTGGCTGATGATAACACATTTCTGATCAGAAAGAAAAGACTGAGGAAAAGAAACCCATTCGCATTTGACACAGAGTTCCTGACTTAGGAGAGGGGAAGTGACTTCTACCCTGTGCCTGGCTGGCCGGGGCTTCCTGAACAGGTACAGGGAGGCATGGGAACTGGCCCAGTTCTCACAGGTACCACTTTTCCGTTTGGTTCTCGTCTGTTCCTTCACATCCGGGGTTAGCTAGAGTAGAGGTACCCATGCCTTGCAGACCAGACTGGGGTCGGCCCTGTTGTCCCAAGGAGCAGCTTCCTTAGAGACCACCCTAGGAAAACTTCAGGTCAACCCTCAGAGGAGAGCTGTGCATGAATCTTCCCCCTGTGAAAAAGACCAAAGGGCAGGGGAACTTCTAGAACTGACCTTTGTGTCTTTCTCGAAGCAAAGGCTCAAGTTTCCTTCTGGACTCCTTGCCAGAGCCCACGTCTGGGGAAGAGTCGAGTCTGCATGGTGCACATCCTCACTCTCCTCATTTTCTGTTCCCCCAGAAAGCTGGAGCTGTGAACATGAGCTAGGAGAGCTCTGTCACAACATCCTCATGAAGGCTCGCCCCACACACACTCATAACCACGGTGCTTAAACTCAAAGGAAAAAGACTAGGGACACCTTGAACCCATCTACAGCTGATCAAGTACGAATCATCCCAAATCCAAGACTATAAACTGGTTTGAAGACACAGGGTAGGACTTGTTCCCCCACATCCCAGCGTGGCTCCTGACTGTCCGGGCCATCTCTGCCTACAGGAGCCTTGTCTGTCAGAGTAGTTCTCTCTTCTGCAGGTTCTGAGGGAGGGCTTGGAAGCACGTCTGTCAGTCAGGTGCATGGTGACAGGCACCACCAGAGAGGATGGCCGCGAACATTCTGAAGGTCAGGAAATGGAGTCTGGAGGCTTTGTGCTTCCCAATTTGCTTTGTAAACAGTATGCTTCCTTAAATACTAGTTGGCTGAACTTTTGAGCAACTCTATGTGCTATCATATCCCACCCAACTGATACTTGGACAAGGAAACTTGATAGCAAAATATTTAGGACTGGATTCAGCTAAATTAAGGTTTAAAAGCCTAAAAGTCTTCATGTTCTCACAGCAGCTGCAGCTTCTTCACCTTGAGGGGCCAGAATGGGCAGTGTGCAACCTATAGTCCTAGCTACTGGGAGACTGAGGCAGGAGGATGACTTGAGCCCAGGAGTGAGACCAGACTGGACAACATAGTGAGACCATGTCTAATAACAAGTTTCAGTTTCATAGACAGGGTAGTGCATGCATACAGTCACACTGGGGAGGCTGAGGCAGGAGGATTGCAAGTTGGAGCTCAGTTTGGGCTATAGAGTGAGAGGCTGTCTCTAAAAAACCAAAACTACATGGTATAGAACTGAGATTCTTCTGAGCACCACTAAGAACGGCTGTGGAGACTTGCTTTCCTCATTCTCCTTTCTTCAGGTAGAGGGGTCTCTGTCTGCAACCTCACCAGAACTGGTGAGGTCTGAGGTGGCATGCATGCAAGGGAATTGGCTGCAGAGGTGTGGACTGGCTGGTTTTTGTGTCAACTTGACACATGCTAGTCACTACAGGAAGAAGCCTCAGCTGAGGAAATGCCTCCATGAGATCCAGCTGTAAGGCATTTTCTCATTTGGTGATCAATGGGGGAGGGTCCAGCCCATGGTGGGTGGTGCCATCCCTGGACTGGTGGTCTTGGGTTCTATAAGAAGGTAGGTTGAGCAAGCTATGTGAAGCAAGCTAGTAAGCAGCACCCTCCATGGCCTCTGCATCAGCTCCTGCCTCCGGGTTCCTGCCCTGTCTGAGTTCCTGTCCTGACTTCCTTCAGTGATGAACAGCAATGCTGAAGTGTCTAACTATGACAAGGTGACTGAGACTTACATGTTCACACACACATTTATGTATCTGTAAAAGAACAAAATATTTTAATTCTTTATCCATGGCCACAAGCTTTCTTCAGTAAGTTACACCTGCGTAGCGACCAGGTGACAGCATGGTTAATGCTTCAGGACAGGCAGTCCCAGAGCGAATCAGGACAAGTCACAATTTTGTACTAACAATCAACTTAACCACAGCTCGAAATGTAGTCTGTCCCAGCTGCAAGAGCCACAAGACACCAATCATGCGTCTTACCCCAATACGGACTTTTATAAAACACACATATATATGTTTTTAGCACAATAAACGCGCTCATTATGCACTCTAACATAGAGCACAACAATACATCAATACATGCTATGGAGTGCAGCCCTCATGTCTCCACAGGCAGGAGCCGGAGGTCAGACAGAAGCCCGTGGTGTGACGGCAGGAAGGTCGGAGCGCCGCTCTGCACTGACGTGTCTTACACCGAGAGCTGTCGCCTCTGTCTAGCGCGGGGCAGGTACAGCCTCACAGACAGTGTTATTTCCTAAGAGCAGAGATGTCACTCTGGATCTGAGTCATTGTCACCTAGAAATCATTACAAGTCAGCTCCATAGAGGGTGGGGATTGGCTTTGGGGTCAAGTGTAACAGTGCCCCTCAGACATCTGCACACCCACACCCTTGTGCCCAGGGAAAGTGCACTTCCGATGGCAGATATAAAAATAGATTGGCACACTCTTGACACAGGGAGAGGGGACTTTAAGCCTCGTCCCCCAAGCCTGCACATTTGGTTCCCTCCGCTCCAGCACAGCGTGCTCCCAGTCAGAACCAGTCAGAACCAGTCTGCAGTAAAGGCCCTGAGCAGCTTCAAACTTCACACGTGCCTGGGAGGAAGCGTGGGCGCTGAGTTGCGGCTGTGGGGACCTGGGAGGGCCTCCAGCACCCCCAGCACATGACTCCTCTTGGCGAGCCTGAGCGACGTCTCCCGAGCAAGGTCCAGGTACAGCTTCTCCGTGAAAAGAAAGCTGCAAGGAGACTCTCTGGGTAGGCTCAGCTCGACTCTGGTCTCTGGGAGTAAGCGAGGCTTCACGGTACTCGGAGGAAGCAGTCCTTGGCCCTCCTAGGGCCTGTGCTAGGAGCTCTGGATCAGGCGTCTATAGTGGGGCATGACTTCGTGCTCTGGCAGATGAAGTGCAAATTCCAAGGCCACCAACACTGGGAACTCAAAGGCAATCAGTTCTCTCCTGTTCAGTCGGAACTTCTCTTCCAGTTTCTGCAAAGTCAACAGAACCAGTTTAGTTTTGCATTTAACAACTTAGGCTTGTTTTTTTTTTTTTTCCAAGTGCAACTTTTCTACTACCAAGTCAGTGAGTATTTATCACGGATGCATCTGCTCTCCATTGCTATGACAGATCACCAGAGACTGGGTGAATTTTAAAAGAAGAGAGGTTCTGGAGGTCGGGCAGTTGCATCTGGTAAAGGGCTGTGCGGCTCCATCTCAGGGAGAGAAGCAGAAGGGGCCGGCTGGGTCCATGCTGTGCAGAAACCAGGAATGCACAGCCACAGCCGCACTCCTCACATGCTACTCTTGTAGCTACTCTAGTTCAGGAAACATCAACTTCCGAAAGACGGCGCAAGTCCTCCTCAGTGTCCCCTCCCAACACCACCGCAACGGAAATCAAATTTCAGTGTGAGTTCCAGGAGTGAGGAAAACACGCCCAAGTCACGTCTGTGCATTACAGGCAAGGTGCCGGAGGAGAGGGTTAGTCCCGGCTGTCCCCTGCCTGAGTGCCGGTGCTGCAGACAGCAAACCTTCCGGAGCGCCAGCGGTCTGTCTGGAGATCCGTGACAACTCCATTTACTACTGCAAACATTCTTAAAGTTGACGTTGCGTTTATGCCCATTTTACAGGTGATCACAACTTAAGATGCCAAGATGTTCATCTGCTGTGCTGAGGCAAAACCAACAGGGATTTTTTTTCTTAATTGGGTTTTTTGACACAGCTTTCTCTGTGTAGCCCTAGCTGTAGACCAGGCTGGCCTCAAACTCACAGAGATCATCCTGTTTCTGCCTCCCTAGTGCTGGAATTAAAGGTGTGCGCCACCACCCTGGGGCTCTAGCTGGGATTCTAACTGCACCTGTTATAACTGAGTGGGGCCTAGAGGTCAGAGCAGGCTGGCCAGGGAGCAGCTCAGGAGAGCTTCGCACGACACGAGGTGAGGATTTGTGAGTCAGCCTTGTCCACTCAACAATACAGGCTTCCAGGATTAGAAACAGAAGAGGAGCGGGGCACAAAAAGTGCCCCCTTTGGCTAGCGCACTCAGTCTCAGCTCAAGTTCGGCTTTTGGCTACTGGAGTATCTAGCCGCAGTGGCTGATGGTACCTGTGGTAAAACTGGGATGGGATCTCACATTAGGGAGCTGCTTTCAGATCAGAACCGCTGTGCTGGTCTGTGTTGGTGCCGTCCAGATTCTGCTGTGTGGCACAGTACTGAACTCTGATTTCATGTGTATCGTATAAATATGCTTAGAACTGTATTAGCATTACTTCTGAAGATGTATTAATTATATGCATATATATATATATATTTCCTACTTTATCAGGGAACCCCCAAGGAGATCCTGAAACCACAGTACCACATCATATAGACATGTAATCAAATAGTGTATCTATAGCAAAGGTTGACTTATTGTGCCTAAGTTATAAGATCAACTAAAACGGTAATGGTACTGCAGTGAACGCTACACAAACGCTCTCTCTGTTGCTTGTCCGGGCTTGGCCGTGCGATGCCTGCAGGTGAGATGAAGGCACTGTGATACAGGCTGTCGTGGGGGGCTCAGACCGACGCCGCGATGCTTGGGCAGCCAGTCGAGGTGGCTGCACAGGACACGGGGACAATTCATGTCTGAGGTGGCCCAGGGAGGGCGGCTTCCGTCACACTGCTGAGACCAGTACACAGCCTAAAACTTACAAATGGCTCTCCTCAGGACTTCTCTATGCAGTATTGGGGCTGTGGTTGACTTGGGTAACTGAAACCGGGAAAGGTCAATGGAGAACAATGTGTATGCCAATGGGGAGACAACTGTCTAAGTCTGTTGATGCTCATTTGGCACCCAAGGATCACTGCATCTACTGCACACACTGGTCCCGGTACCACTTCTGAAAACTAGGAAACCATGACATAAATAATGCTCTTTCTTAAAAATATACACCAATACCTACCTTACTCTCTTCATCACTGGACAGCGGGCAGTGAGATGTCGAGGGCATCGCACCCACCATCTGTTCTGTGCCTGCGACAGCCCGGCCTCTTTGCTGTCCCGGCCTTTCCTGGGCACTCTCTTCCTACTGCCCCAACAGTTTAGTCACGGCCCTGTGGTCCTGATAGGACATCCTGGCAGACCTTCCCTGAGGCTCAGGATTGCTCATCAGAGCCTGTGATTCCTGCCCATAAACCTGGTGATTCCAGCTCCTCTGAGATCTCAGCCTTTGACGGCCTCTCTCCGGGACCATCCTGGAGCCAGATCTGCAAGGGCTCCAGAGAGAACAGCAGAGTCTCGGGACTTCAGCAGTGAGCTGGACAATCACTTCTGGTTGGACACAAAATTGCTAACATTTATAGGGCACTTAGTTATGTGTGCCGGGCTTTGAGCATTTATAAACACTGGCTCCTTAAATGCTCCAATCGGCACCAGTGGACAACTCCTCGTGAGCATGCTTTTAAAACGCAAGCGAATCGATCAGGAGCTCCAGATCCTCCCTTCACTCTGTCCGCCTGCAGGCGGCCCAGCACTGATAGGCATTCTTCAAACTGGGCGTTCCTAAGCCTGCTCACCTGCCTGGCAGGCACCCCTTTCTGGAAACAATAATGAAGGCTCCTGCCCACAGTCCTCCCCTTTCCTTCTGCCCCCATGGCCCCAGGGGTTCTGGTCATATGCACTGAGTGTCTGTCTGTCCCTCACAAATGAGTGCTGCTGGCTTGGGCCCCAGTGAAGTGCAGTTAGGAGAGCTCGGAGGAGCTTGGTGACCTTAAGGGAGACCAGATTCAGAAAAATGGGCACATGTAAGCCAGGAATGGACCTTGGACTTGCCGGCTTTTACAGAGATGGGAAGTCAGTTTAAACTGTCCTTTAGGCCGCCTGGTCCATAGTTATGCTACAGCCGCCTACAGGGAGGTCCTTTCTCTCGGAACTGGGAGTAATAACCCGCTTTTCAATGGCAGTTGGCTCTTGCTCTGCTTTTCTTTTTTGATTTATACACTCCAGCACACACACACGCACGCACGCACGCACGCACGCACGCACGCACACACACACACACACACACACACACACACACACACTAATACACATTTGTGTACTGGGAATGGGAACCTAGGGCCTCCCATGCGAGCCATGCACTCTACCATCATGTCACATCTCCCCACTCCTTTCACTTTGGGACAGGGTCTGCCCAGGCTGTCCTGGCTGGCTTTGAACTTTGGTCCTCCTGCCTTACTCTCCCAAGCTCATGGCCTATAACCACAAAGCCCGCCTACACTCTATGTTAAAACAGGTGTTCATCCTTGTTTGGTGGGGCTGTCCTTTAGAAGTAAGGCCACATCATCACTCCGAACCCAGCATTTCTGATAGTGTTCTGGAGTCACACTGCTCACAATACTCTCATGATTACCATGTGTGGTGGTTGAAAGAAAATTGTCCCCAAAGGGAGTGGCACTATTAGCAGGCATGGCCTGATTGGAGTAGGTGTCGCCTTTTTGGAGGAAGTGTGTCTCTGTCGGGGTGGGCTTTGAGGTCTCCTATGCTCAAACTACACCCAGTGTATCAATCCACAGATCAAGATGTAGAACTCTCGGCTCCTTCTCCAGCACCATGTCCCACCGTGATGAAACTGTAAGCTGCCCCCATTAAATGTTTTCCTTTATAAGAATTGCCATGGTCATGGTGTCTCTTCACAGCTATAGAAATCCTAACTAAGACACATGGCTTCTCTGGCTGTGAGAATAACTTCATCACTCACGCTATCTGAGAAGGGTTTTTTGTTTGTTTGTTTGTTTGTTTGTTTGTTTTCTGTTGTTGGTTTGCTTTTTCATTTTACTTTTTTTTTTTTTTCTGAGAAGGGATTTTAGGTCACGACCCTAATGATGGCTTTTTCATCTTGTCCAGGTAGATCACCCATTTCTTCTACAAGTTATTTTACAGTCCTCATCTCTACTCGACATTAAGGTCCATCTGCCTGCCAGGGGACCCCTGGGCTAAGTGCTGAGTGTTAACTTAATGTGAGGAAACCTCCCACCCCCATCAAGACCCAGCTCACTTACATCAATTAGATGCTTGACTTCGTGCTTTTTGAGGTCACTTCCGACCTTGGCTGCTAACAGCACACACGCTCCAGCACAGAGCTTCCGGTTCTGCTTGTTCAGTTTCCCCTTGAGAGCGAGCTTCTCAAAGTAGACAAAGGCCATGGCCACTGTGGGCTCCTCAAAGCCACAGTCCTCCTGGGCAAGTTTCCGCATCTCTCTCTTCAGACTAGAAAAAGACAGGAAGCAGAGTCCTGAGAGAGCTCAGGGGACCCACAAGACTATGACACCACACGGAAAGCATTTTCTCTATTTCCCTCCCACCGGGGGATGTAGGCCGAGGTTAATCCACAGTAGATGTGGGAGCAGACCGTGGAACTCTGGCCCGTCTGTGGGTCACCCGACACACACAGGACAGCATCACCACTTCCAAGGATTCCGGGAAGGCAGCACTCCAAAAAACAGGCATGGAAGGACACCACAGTGTATATCTGAGTCCCCAGGAAAAGAGGGGGGCTCCTCAAAGTGAAGAAAGGGATCCACACTCATTTTAGAGCTATATCAGGTGCTTGATCTAAGTTCTGCCAATTGTTGATTAGACTCTAAGTCAGGTAGAAGTGTTTGGCTAAAGGAAAAACCATGGAGTGTCTTTGGGAAAGCTGTCTAGCAAATGGACAGAGCATGGATGCTTGCTTTTTCTTATTCCTTGGTTTGGAACATGCCAGAATCAAATCTGCATTAGGATGCACACTAGGGTAAGCCCTGCACATACTCCAGCATCTCGGAGGTGGTGAGCACACGCCGGCAATGTTGGAGGCCTGGTGTGGACACCACAACATGAGTCAGCACATCTCTAACTTGGCACGGTTGAGTGGCTGGCAGATGTGGGTCACCACAAACCCACCCAATCATCTGTATGGGAAATCTGGGCCTGTCTCTCTGTTTTGGCCATTTTGGTGGCTGCTCAAAGATAGGGCCTTGAAGTCATGTCTAGTTAGGTGGAGTTATCTCATGACCAAAGGTGCCAATTCTATGCAAAAAACTTCTGTTTTGCCTGCACCTCAGAAAGCCAAGACCTGAATGCTGCCCATTCTAGTTTGTGTTTTTAGATATGGCTCATGTATCCTAAGCTGATTTCACATTTCTGCCTCTGTCTCCCAAGTGCTGGGATCACGGGACTATAATCACGGCTGGGTTATGTAGTGAGGGAGCTTGGACCCAAGCTCTGTACATGAAAGCCCAGCACTCTACCAACTGAGCCTGCCCCCAGCTCCATCCTCGCTGCTTTTTATAACCTCAGTCTTACTGAGCTGGCAAGCTGCAGGCACACAGCATGAAATGATTTTCTCACTGAATGAATGTCTTCCTAAGAGCTGTGTCAACTAGAGGGTCAGGAGCTTTGGCCGGATGCCTGATGCCCTGGGCTCTCCCACAACATCCAGGCATGAGTCGGCCAGCAGCGGAAGAGTGTCTGGTGAACGTGACTACATTTCTTTTCCTGAGGAACAAGGAAAACTATAGTACAATGTGAGCCTACAGTGTGCTGGAAGGGCCTGGTGGGAAAGTTCTGGGTGATATGCAGCTCTCATACCTCCTGATTTTGCTGAGTGTTAACTTAATGTGAGGAAACTTTTCCTTGAAGGTTTCATTCATGTCCTTCTTGAGATCTGAGGGCTTCACGTAGTCAATCACTGTGGTCTGTAATAGAGGAGGCAAGAAACGTCACTGCAACCATGGGTCAGGTGTACTAACAACGTCCAGGTTAGGCCGAAGCAGCCAATAGGCCTTAGAGAGTGGCTCTGTCTCTGCCTGCTGTCCACACCGGCAGGATTCAAAGCTCCACCCTCACCCCTCATCATCCCACATCTCACATTCTACCTCCCATGGTTATTGTGGGAACCACGAGAGATGCTCTGTACAATGCTTTGCACATTATATAGATGCTCAACACATTCTAGCTACCATTTAAATATGTTTTCGTAAAATTTGACAAATTATGCATAAAATTCACCATTTTAAGGCACCATTTAGTGGCATTAAGGACATTAACATCATTATGCAACCATTACCACCGCCATATCCAGTACTCCACAGAACATCTCCCTGTTTACTCTCGAGCCCAGGCAAGCATCATTGTTCGCTGTTTGTTTTTGAGACAGGTCTCTAGGTAGTCAAGCCTGGCTTTGAACTCTGCATTCTTCCTGCTGGGATTACATATGTGAGTACCATGTCCAGATACTTTTTTTAAACATTGGTTTGTGTATGTACAAATGTACATGACTGTGTTTGCCATGTTTTGTGGGGGTGGGGGTGGGGAGGTTGGTTCTCTCCTCCTAGCACGTGAGTTCAGGAAGTCAAACTCTGGTTGCCTGGCTTGGTGACAAGCATCCTTACCTCCTTAGTCACCTCACCAGCTCCCAGCTAACTTTTGTCTCATGTAAGTAGAACAACATATTTGCTTTTTCCATCACAGGTCTCTTTCAGTGTTAATGTTTCAAGGTTCAGGTGGCATCGTGTATGAATGTCCCCTCAGAGGGAGAGTGGCATTCCATTATATGTATGCAATGGTAACATTATCAACAGTCCCTTGCTTGAATTCTGCTTATTCCCAAGACAGGTTCCTTTGAGCCCTTGGGAGTATTCTTGGCACCCTTGCTCAGTGCTCTGCATATTTAGCCCTGAATTTGTATTTAAGTCTCATCCCATCTCAAAAGTGCACCTGCCCAGGGCCAGCACTCTTTAGGCTGACAACAGAAGCCACCTTCAGCAGGCCACTGCTTTCTGTAGGAAATTATGTGAAGGCCACCCGGGCCCAGGGATGACCCACTAGTAAAATCCATCCAGCATTTCTTAGTGACTGTGACTAACGTTGGTAGGCTTCTCTGAACACATGGTTTGATGTGATGCTTAATGAAGTTTTAGATTTTGGCAGTGCTGAGACTTGAACCCAGGGCTTTAGGTACGCCCTGGCAAGTGCTATACCACTAAGCTACACCCCAGCTTGACAAGACTTATAACACATGAACTGCATTTGATGGCAGCTAAAAGCAACATCGAGCCAATGAAAAGTGATCTCAATGGCATTTTCCTTCTCTGTAGCAGTATTAACTTGGTTCTGCTAATCCAGCTCACACCTGTGTGACACTTGGGGAGATAAGAAATCAGATGAGTAACACCAAACCAGGGCAAGCAATGCAAATGAGCATTTGAATTTTCCAACAGGTCTGTCCAAACATTTGAGGAAATGAGAGGCCTAGATCCTTTCCTGAGGTAACCAGTGCAGCCGACTGATGTGGGATACATGCAAGTATGCGCCAATGCTTCTCTTTGAATGCACCCATCTCAACTTACAGGTGAAGGAACTGAAGCCCAGGATGGTGGAGAAGCTTGTCCCAGGCTTGACAAGCTGCAGGCATGGCCAGGAGTGAGATCCTGACCTCCCACTTTGGTACCTTCAGCTCCCCTTACACAATGTCTTCCAGGCTGTTCTTCCCTAATCAGACAATGAACAGCTGGCAGTAGCTCCCTTCTCATGAGGCTGTCACAAAGAGGTGTGGATGCAGACACAGCCAAAGAAGTAGCCACCTTAGCAAGTCAAAGTCACTCAACCTCTGGTCTAGGCACCCATGACTTGTTTCTTAGTTGACTTCTATGTCTGAAGTCCAGGGACTTGCATATCAGATTATCTTGCCAACTAACATTCCTTTCCAATTTACTCTGTGATGCTGCATCTTGGGACTCATCCAGCTAAGTTCCCTAGAGCACAGGTTGCTTTCCCTATGACTAACCTTCCCTAAACATTCAGCTTCATCCTGGGAAGCTTGACTCCAGGAAACTACCAGTTATGTTTCCTGACTCTCTTGCAGCTAGGATGACAAATGCATTTCTGGCTGCAGAAGAGGTGGCATCTCTGTTATTTCTGCTACCAAGAGTGGTTGAGAAGTTCTAGCTCACTAGCTTTAGATGTCCATTTTGTAGGTGTAGACCACAGCAAGGGCAGCATGGTCGGCAGCCACCATTAGTGGTAGTGGGTTCCCAACTGTGGTAGTTACCTGTTGGTAGCCATAGTTGTTGGTCAGAAACTCGAGTCCTGATCCCATAGGCAAGGCTCCCTAGGTGACTTGGGGATCATTCTTATTCTGCTAGTGTTCCCAAATATTCTCTGGTTAGAACCTACTCTGATAACTACCACCCACCTTTGAAAGTGTGTGTGTGTGTGTGTGTGTTTACAAGCACACGTGGAGCCAGAGGACAATCTCAGCAGCATCGTTAGGAATACTGTCCACCACTTTGAGATAGGGTCCTTCACTGACTTGGAGCTCACTAATTAGGCTAGGCTAACCAGCCAGGGAGCTTTAGGGGATCCTTCCTTTTCTCCACCTCCCCAGAACTGGAATTACAAATGTGCTACCATGCCCAGCCCTTTTCACAAGGACTGAACTCAGGTCTTCAGGCTCGCAAGGCAAGCACTTTCTCCACAGGACCACCCAGAGTGGGTGCTGAGCTTTGCAGTGAACTGTGACACACAGTTACAGTTACAAGTGGCCTCATCCTTGCTCTTGGGGTAAGGAGCTTGGGTGTCCTTCCTGGTAGTGGGGTGAGTTCAGGCTGGGCACTGAGTGTTGATGTGAGACCCTCAGCCCAGACTTTGGTAGATGTTCTAAGTACCTGGATGGCAAAACTCTCAAGGTCACAGGGATGCCACCTGCAGGCCCACGTGACATCCTCCACCACTCTCAGCCACCGTGTGCTTGTTTCCAGCTGCAGTCCCATGTCCTCGTGACTGTCCCCAGCACTGAACATAAGGCTTGGCTACAGTCGGAAGGTTTCGGAGATGCCAGCACAGCCAGGAGAAGCAAGATGTGAAAGTACCGGTAAGCCACAGCCACGTGGCAACTTATAAATAGAAATGCGTTACGTTATAAGCATTAGCTAGCAAGAAGCCTGTCATGGGCCATACAGTTTGTAAGTAATATTAAGCCTCTGAATGATTATTTTATGAGCAGCTGAGGCACTGCAGGGCCAGGTGGGATCAAGAGAAACCTTCCAACTATGCTTGGCCCCAATCTGGCATTTGACTTGCTCATTTATTTGGGCTTCACAAGTCTCACTATGTAGCCCAGGCTGGCCTTAAACTCAGTCCTCTTGCCTTAGCCTCGAGTGCTGAGATGATGGGATGCACCACCATGCGTCTTTCCTAAGTTAGACAATACACTCTGAGGTGTGTGGAGGGTCCTCTGCAACCATCACCTTTCAGTCAAAGCCCAGTAACAGCCACTGCCTACACAAGAAACCCCTTACTCCATCTTCAGGGAGGCAGTCTCTCCTCACAGCCTCAGCATCTGACTGACAAGATGATGTCCTCAGGGGGAGTGACAGAGGAAGCCCAAATAAAGACGCTCCTCACATGAAGTCTGAGATTGGCACATGGCCAGGTGGGACCAGTGGACCAGGATCCTAGAGGGAGACTGCTGTATGCTAAAGGCATCAGTGTACGTGGACAGCTGTAGGTTTGTGACAGCCCACGTCACTGAGGCAATTGCCCAGTAACAGTCACTGTAGGCTGTCTGCCTCAGTCTATTTTGAGGTTGGGGGTGGGCAGTGAAATGTCTCTAGGACACGATGGGAGAAGATGGTGGTCAGCTGTGCTCTGAGAGGCTGGCTGAGAACAGGAAGTGGCCGCTTTGGTTTCCTGGCTTGCTGTAACAAGCTCCCACAACCTGGTAGCTATGACAACTGCAGGCTGCCCCAGAGACCTAGCTGGAAGCCTGCACTCTGGGCAGGTTACTCTGTCTCCAGAACCCTCCTTGACCCTCTCAAGCTTCCAATACCCAAGACTGACGATGCTTCACTACAGCATCCGCTGTCTTTCCTGCCCCTTTCTACGGGCATGATCATGTCAGATCAGGAACATTACTCTCTGCTCACCTCACTTTACCTCATGTACATCTGCACAGAGCCTGGTGCAGATCAAACAACATCCTAAGGTCACAGGAGGTCACAGCCTCCCTTAGGGGGACAGTCCTGGCCACAGTCCCGGCCACAGTCGTGACTTATACCTAACAGTGTTGCTGTACAGCATTACTAGACTCTGACCCTCCCCGCCCCCCAGGCTGAAAGTTCAGCCCCCTGCCCCAGCACCAACTCAGCCTCCCAAGAGTCAACCCTGGTCTGCAGGAGGCCTTCCCAGGCACTTCCCCTGTGTGTGGCAGCTCTCCTTCTGGTCTTCCTATGGTTCCTCTTCTCAGGGAGACTCAGCCAGAGATCTGGTTTTACACTCAGCTCTGCCTCATGGCATCCGGGTAGCCTGGAGCACACTGCTGAAATACTTAGGCCTCAGTCGCCTCCTCTGGCATCTCCACCAGATGCCTGCTTTGTGCTGATGGCCACAGGACACCCGATGGGGGGGGGGAGGGAGGCTGTCCCTGTGACCTGCTCACTCACCTGCCTGGGTTAATCAGGATGAGTGGGTCACCCCCAGTATGGTAGTCTGCCTCCAAACCTTGTAGGATGCAGAGGGCCACCCTCTACCTTCTGAGCTACAGGTCCCTGTGGAGACCAGAGTATGGCGAGCTCTGACAACTGACATCAGCCTCTCTTGAGGGAGTTGTAAGATGATCCTTAGAGGCCAGCCCTCCTAGCCAGCCAAATGACCACTGTTCCTGCCAAAGAGGCTCAGGGTCCCCAGCTCCTGCTAG